AGCGAAGTTATTCAACACAGCAACTGATCAGACATGGAAAGGTACTTCCTAAACTGGCAAGAATCACTGGCATTTAAGAACAGTGTAATTCTATTAGAACCCATGGCCTTGCTCTGTATCTACAGCAGCGCAATGAGTACCAGGTGTAAGCTGCCATCTAAGTCATCTTTTATAAGAATTTAGCTTGGTTTCAACCAGTTGATTCTTCTCTTTTCTATGCAAATCACTCAAGAGGTTTTCTTACCTATCCAGCAATGTCATGAAAAAGTGAAATATTTAACAAAGTAGTTGTATTTGTTATTTTCATTATAGGAAAGTTTTAACTTGCTTTGGTTTGACAAGTTTGCTACGGTATTGACCTCCAAAGTCCTGTATTGCTATGTGGCACTGCAGATGCTGAAGTATTAAGCTAGGCAAGCTCTTCCTTGAAGGGGCAGAGCTTATCTCCAGGAGCAGAGAAGCCAGTGGGCTCAGGTTGCTTTGTTTGCCGTTCTGTGGATGTCTTGTTCATGCTGGCTGTTCTGTACCAGCAAAAGAGAAGCATCCAAAGGCCTTCGCACTCACTTTCAGAACAGACCATCATGAGCTTTATAAATTACTTCAGCTACTGCTCTAAAAACCAGGTTCCTCTCCAAGAGCAATGCACAGTGGTAAAGCCAACTACACATTTAACTTCTTACTATGTTGTCAAACTGGCTCAAAAGAGAAATGCAAAGTTATTTTCCCTTTAAAAACAAAGAGCAGCTAATCTCGGGCAAAAGCTTTGGACAAGTGGGAAGGTAATGCCAGAGCAAGAGAGAAAATGGAAACCCTTGAATGAGCAGCAGATGATACCTTGAGTAGGAATGTTCCCTAGGAAAGGCCCAAACCAAGGTCATTTTCAGACAACACCAGGATAAGGAAGGGGTTGCAGAAGACTGTTGGCTCTGGAAGGCTCACTTAGCATCAGATCTGAGCTTCAGAAAGCAGCTTTGATTTATGCTTACTTTTGAATACAAGCTTATGTTCCAGTAAAACAAGTTATTCACTATTTTCTAACCAGGATTATGAGTTACTGGCACTTTTGAGAGCACACAGGGCATTGCACTGCAAGTTTCAGGAGCTTGCCATTACCAGGCCTAATGCAAAGTCCATTTAATGTAACGATTGCAACAGACTTTGGCTCAGAACATCTACTTCTTAGTTCCGCTACAAAGAAATATAGGAAAATTAGCTCCCTTTAAAGTTCAGGGAAGTCCAATACAATTCCATCTGACCTTTAGTTAAAGGTTTGCTGCTTCTGAGGATGCAGCAGATCTTCACTACTGCTCAGGTAGATGTAAGACTGCAGCTTGACTCTTAGGACTTCTCCCCAGGGAGGAGCAAAAAACAAGTGGTATCTCATGAAAAAAACCCATCCTGGTACCCTTTAATTTACTTTACATGGGTGGTTCGGGACTGAAAAGGGGAATTAGCTGGTGGTGGGGGGTCCCTGGAGCTTGTATTTCAAGTTTTTATTCTCACTGTTTTAATGTAAGATGTTGTTGATAAGCATCTTTACTTAATCTGAGCTGTTCCTGAAGGAAGACAAAGCCTTGAACTGTTTATCTGCTCTCTTGGGCTTTGTGGATTCCAGGCATTAAGTGGTTAATAGCTGGAAGCTGTGCATTAGGCATTTATGGTGCTAAAGCCAGTTGTAATTTGCCTGATAAAAGGCATTTCAAATAAGCCAGGATTGCATAGAGGAATTTCAGTTGATGGGTTTCTGCCTGGGCCACCCTTTCTCAGGACTTACCCAAAAGCTTTTAACATGTCTTGACAAATGAAGGGAGAGGCTTCAATGCAGCAACAGACAGCAGGTTTATATTTAAAAGCACAAGCGAGAGAGAAACACCCTGAACTATTTGTTCTGTTAAATCCTCTATCAGCACCTACATAGCGGGGGGGTTTGTGGGTTGGGTTTTAGGGGGGTTTGTTAAAACACAGGTAAGCATTCCAGTTCAGGTCTCTGCATCCTGACCTAACTTTTCCCAAGCTGCAAAGTACAAAGAAATGAGAAGTGGAAATTTTCAGCTATCCAGGTGCATGGAAGAGTTGCCAAAGCACATTGCCACTCCAAACTGGAGCCTTCATTTCACCAGGCACTTTGAAAGACCCAGTTTTCCCAGGCATCAAAGAGACAGGAGCTGTGACCCGGGTCCCTGTGAAACAAAGCCACCCAAATCGGAAACAGTATTTGCCATTCCTTCCTGGGACATGGTCAACTTTCATGTCACTCATGGGATTTATGCCATTCAGGGCTGATTTCCCCCCACCTCCCCACCATGTTTGATTCTTTATCTGAGAAGCAACACGCAATGCTGACTATACGCATTATACTCGCACTTCAGTATTAATTTTACAGGTACAAAAATGGATATATCTTAAATACTTCAATCCATAATCACATCCCTTTGCAAGAATCTCAAGCATCTTTACTGCGCTGATGGGTTGGGATGTTTTTTGGGAGGGAATATTTCTAACAGTCTTCATTTTCTTTATTTTTGTCTCTTTCACAGATTGCAAGTTCTTTGGAAGAGGCTACACATCTGTTAGAGGGTTTGGACAGTGCTTAGCTTAACTATTTGAATCTTCATAGTGCCTCAGGGCAATCCCATAATATATATAATCCATTTCACCGCTGCACTAAGGTGTGTGCATGAGCAGTGGCAGCTTGGCAATGCCATGTTGGGACAAGCAGTATGTTCCTTGCTCTGCTATCTGCCTGTGTTTTACGAGAAGCCTGAAGCAAGGAGACTCCAATTAGTGCATCATGTGGGGCTCTGACTAAGTGAGATTATTTCTCCCTTATCTAGGCTAAAGGGAAGTAGTAGCTTAACACATTCTCATTATTGCCAAAGGTCTTTAAAAAGAACCAGCATGTATAAGAAAATTGCCTACTGACATTCTTTGGAGTTTGCAAATTCAGGGATTTAAGGCCAGGATGATTATCTTGCTGGACCTCCCTTGCAAAAGCCATAAAAGCTCAAAGCCTTGAGCATTTAATTTGGAGAAGCTCCTGGCAGTTTGAGACCTTCAAAAGATGGAGAACTGGCATATCCTTTGGTAAGCTGTTCCCACAGTTCACATTACAAAGTGTACCTGGCTACTTGTTACAAGGTAAAATTAAAGGGAATTCTAAAACACAGGAGCATGGGGAGGGAAAAAGAGCAAATTAAACTTTCAGCCCATAGCATCCCCATAAGCACCGATGGTAGAGTTGCACATCTACACACAAGTCACACATGCAGGTGTACCAGCTGTCCCTAAAAGGTATGTTAGCACGTGACACGCTCGCCTGCGTTTTCCGAGTGAAATAAGGACGATCCATGGATTCTGTTGTCCTTCATTCCACCGGAGTCTGTCTCATACCTAACCAGATTTCAGTGGAGTGAAGCACAAGAGACATGGAGATGAATCAGCAACAAGAGGAACTGCTTCTCACTGACAGAGCAGGGGAACTGCATGGAAGTTTGGATACACCATGGATCCAAACAGAGCGGGTGTGCTGGGACACGGGGAGCAGCAGTACACGAGCAGCTCAGTAATCTGAGCATTTCTTGAACAGCTACAGTAAGAACCCATTTTAAGAATGTACTTACTTTCTGCATAATATGTAAGGATTAAAAGCCTACAAAGACCACAAGCTGCTTTCTGGAAGGCTCAAATACCTCATTAACAGGAAATTCAACCCTAATGTGGAAAAATGAGATGTGCAACCTCACCACTTGCAGTCACCTTCCCTCTAGGAGGGTCTATCCAGTAAAGAAACCAGGATGTACTGTTGTTTCAGCACACTTGTATCGCCCCATTTCCCTCGAGATCTTTCTCTCCAGATTCACACCAGCACTGCCAGGCTCCTTTCAACTCTCCTGCCACTCTGTCTTCAGAATCTGGCAAAAATCTATTAACGTTTTAGACCCATTTATTTTGTAATAAAGGGAATGTAAATAAGATTTAAGTTGAGGGAGAATTCAGATTTTTCAAGCTGAGCATGAGATGGATCTTTTCAGGTGTCAGTGTAAATTCCTTGAAGGTTAATGCAGCTTAAACATATTTGATGCATAAAAGTGTCACATCTAATACTAATCACTCACCAATTGTAATTGCCTTTGCAAAGTTCTCACTTCCCCAAGACAAATGCACCCAGAAATTAGGTCTGGCAAATATAAAACAAAACACAAATAATGTCCTCCTACCATAAGGACACATTATTTACTTTGATAGATTTAGTACCAGATTTCAAGAATTTATTGTGCTGTATTATTTCTCAGCTGCCTGCCTAATCCTTCCTTCCCCCTCTTATCTGACTGACTTTAGAAGCATTCAAAAACTACTCGCTGATGGCTTTTCTTACCAACACAGACCTGTGAAGGGTTTGCTCCTTGGAAAGCCAACAGCCAGCTTCCACGTACAGTGGCGCTGAGCTCTTCCAGTCAGCAGTGTGAGTTGTCAAAGCTTTCAGCATTGATTTCCAGGTTTGTTCTTCAGCATAACCCACACCTTGCGTTGGGTATCTTACAAAAAACAATTTCCCTGGTTAATGTTTCAAAGTTGTAATTATTTCTTTTGAGAAGGAGTGCAACAACAGGACCACAACACATTTTCAGACCAGAATCTAGCCAACCTTATCCCGTTTCAGTTTTCTGTACTTTCTTACCCATCTACTACTCCATCTCTGTGGGTATCTTTAAATACCTAATGAAAAACAAACCCAACTCTTGAGATCTTTTCCTAAAGTATTTTTCTTCAGGGCATCCCAGAACAAAGACCTTAGCAAGCCATTCCTTAGCCTTGTGGTGGTGATTGATGGTGGGGGGTAACAAGAACACCAGCAACAAACTGGGGTTTTTCCCCTGTTATCTTTTAGCAAGACAGAGTGAAAATGCAAGAGAGCAAGTACCATGCGTGAAACATAACAGATGAAAATGCACAAGTTTGCTTATTTTCCAATTAATGGTAATAAAATAAAGGGAACTCACCTTCCCACTGCCTGGGCAGCAACAGGGCCACAGGGAAGGAGCCTGTGCTGGGCTCTGCTTGGTTCTGCTGCAGATCCACGATGCTGCACTTGCCACTTCCTCGCCCTTCCATCATCCCCAGCTGGCTTCAGCTTCCCAGGCATGAGAGGCCTTCATTTGTAGGGCACTGTGAGCTCTATGGATGAAGACAGAAATATAGTTGGGTATTAATGATATGCTAGGGAATAATATTTACAGCCCTACAAGCAATATATTACTTAGTCATTTGTTCTTCCCCCCCCCATGTGAAGGACACTTTGGCTAACAGCTTTCCATGCATTAAAGCAATGAATATAATGAGACAGCAGCCAAACTGCCAGAGACACACATTGCTCTGGACAAGTCTTTGTCAATACACTGTGCAGTCAGCAAGACTGCTTTAAGAGATGACAGGTGCTGTGTAAATGCAAGCTCCTTATCAAAGGAGCCACGGCTTGTTGTTCACACTGATGTAGTACCAGAGACAGGAAAAACTCGAGTTACTCCTTAGAGTAATATGAGCAGTCTGAAGACTGAATATTTCTAGACCTTAGAAAGTAACTGATGATACAGAGCTAGCAATTCAGACAAGAAAAACTTACCCATTGAAATGGGTTGATTTGGGGCATACCTGAGACACGGGTTACTAACAGCCCCAGGATCAACTTCACAGAGCCCAGAAAATAAACCAGACAGGGTGCCCAGAGAAGCTGTGGCTGCCCCATCCCTGGCAGTGTTCAAGGCCAGGTTGGACACAGGGGCTTGGAGCAAGCTGCTCCAGTGGAAGGGGTCCCTGGCCGTGGCAGGGGTTGGAGCTGGAGGAGCTTTGAGGTCCCTTCCAAGCCAAACCAGGCTGGGAGTCTGTGATTGTATGAAACATGGTAGCTGAGTCTATCAAGAGAGATGTCACTCTCTAAAAGGGCACATTAGCAAGAACAAGAAGCAGGCCAACTGCTCTGACTTCAGAGATGGCATTTCTTAAACTCCCGTTACAAAGACACGCAAGCCCCAAACAAGCGCTCTGACACTGGCAGCTTCATTATTTCACCTTGTGAAACGTGAGCTGCTCCACTCCCACAAGGGCTTTGCTCAGAAGCCACAACAGAATCCTCTGCATGCGCGAGTATCTGCTGCGCTGAGGTGCACTACAACACCCCAAGCACAGTCTAAGCTGTAGCTGGCACAGGTAAGGAAAATCATTGCATGTAACTACCCCAAGCAGGGCAATGCTTTCACTCAAGCTGTGTTTACTGGGCACTAAAAAGGCAGCAAGTGCACAGGCACTCCAGTCTCGCTGTCAAATAACACCACTGGCATGAGCTACAAGATGCCCAAAACGGCACAAACCCAGCAAAATCTCTGTCCTTGTTGAGCCTTTCCCATAGGAGGGTGAGAACGCGATTGAGCCAAGCTGAAAGGCCAGGGACACACCTAGAAAAGCCAGCAGTTTTCAGCCTGTTTAATGGCTGCATTTCACTGCTGTGCCTAAATCCCTTACCTAAAGTAAATTTTCCTCCAGGAGGCAGCGAGGCCTCCGTACAAGCCCTTTCTTTGGCTTGCTTCAGACAAACATTGCCTTGCGTGTGGCGTTAACTTCGCAGAGCTCTGAAGCCGAGGGGAGGTTTGGATAAGAGGCCCTTTAGAAACCCTTTACAAATGTAGCTTTGATTGACTGACTGATTGAACTTAATTGCAGGCATTCTCTTAATTGTACACTTAATTACTGACACTGTGTCAAAAGACTTCTGCTGCAGCACCTGGAGGACAACCTTGCAAGTGCCAGTCAAAGGCAGCTGCACCAGGCATCAGGGAGGTGCTGCACGTTGCTACAGCTTGGAAAGGGGAAAAAATCATAATATTTTAATAACATACAATTAGGGTTTCACCCACCCTCAAGCACGCGTGTGCACATACACACAATCACAGATCTCTTTGCAGGGAGGGCATCCAATACATCAGGAAGAGAAAAGGAACAAAGAGTGATAATTATGGGCCCATGTGATAGTGCCACCCTTTTGTGGTCTCTCTCAGCATCACAGCGCTGGGAGCTGCAGGGGGAGGGCAGCATGCCATGGGCTTTGGCAGGAGCCATACAGCTGCTGGCCACCCCCAAGTTAGTAACTCCAGATCTTGTCTGTTAAAATTGGAACCAGAAATAAACCCCACGATACTCATTGAAAGGTTAAAACTGAATATTCTCAGCAGCAAGTTTGGGGCACTGCAGGCCTGCCTGCCAATAGCACTGCATGGAGCACAGATAACAGCGTTCTCACCGTTTGCAAGAACGTTATTGAGAAGTACAGAAGCCATAATCACAGACAAATGAGTACTTTAGTGAATTCAAAATTAAAGCCATACTACAAGAGGTTGTATGTGTAGTGTATCAGATGCACGAATAAGCAGAAGCTGAACTGGATGTGTGCATTCCCCCCCCCCCGGGTGTTTTTACCTAATCTTGCTATTAATTAGATGTGCTACTCAATACAAATAAGTAGCTGTAGGGTATTAGAGATGCTTCCACTACCGCTGCATGTGAATCATTGCGGGAATCACAGAACCCTCAGTGCATTTATTCTTACTACATTTCCAAGCAGTAGCTCTGTTATTCCTGCCAAGGATCCAAGCACACAGACTAACCTATAATTCTTACAGAATCCCAGACTGGACTGGGCTGGAAGGGACCTTAGAGCTCATCCTGTTCCAATCCCCTGCCACGGGCAGGGACATCTCCCACTGGAGCAGCTTGCTCCAAGCCCCTGTGTCCAACCTGGCCTTGAGCACTGCCAGGGATGGGGCAGCCACAGCTTCTCTGGGCACCCTGTGCCAGCGCCTCAGCACCCTCACAGGGAAGAACTTCTGCTTTATCTCCAACCTAAATCTCCTGCATTTCAGTTTAAACCTGTTAAAACCTCTTAGTCTGGGAAGTAACAAACTGGCACAAGCTCTGGCTCTGCTGGACCAGAGCAAGCCTGAAAACAGTCTGGATACACAGGTCTGGGTAGAAAATGGATTATCTTCCAGGCAAGAGCAGCTATGGATTTCAAGCATCTCCAAAATCAGGGCTATACAATACACAGCATATCAGAGACCCTACAAATGCAGCCAGCTCAGGCGCTGATACATACCTACATTCCCCTAAAAACAGAAACACAAAGCAAAACAGAGCCCACCAGAACTGTACAGCCACCCAAGATCGGAATTGTTTTCCGCCCACATAAATGCAATTTGCTCCCAACACCTGGAGCCTTGTTAATTTACCTGTGACAGGTTGCTACACTTAATTGCCTTTGACAATTGGTAACATTTTAACACCTCCTTTAATGCACCAATTATGAGAACGCTCTTCGGTGCGGGAAAGAGAACAAAATAGATGGGTGAGCCTCCAATGCAAAACTCCTCTGCAGGTATTGTCATGAAGAGCTTAAAGAACAACCCCCAGAGAGACCATCCTGACTTCGTTTGGCTCCCACTGCAGACAGACAAGCTGTGTTTGCTCTGCTCTCTGGTCCTGCCCCTCCTGGTGCTGGGCTGTGATGGAACAGCACTGTGGAATTAATTACAGGGAGAAGTGCCGAGCATTTGCTTCCCTCCATTGCTGGCACTTGATGTTTTATTGATTACTCCTGTATGCTAAACAAAGTACATCCTAAATAACTCCTGTTTCCAAACTGGGCGAGACATGATGGGCATAGGAACACAGAACCACCTCTTCCAACTACACAGGCTCCTGCCTGTCCAATGGAAACCTTCATTAGGCTACAGCTTTGCAGAATTGCTTTGATGTAGCATGACTGCAAGTGCTGGCTGCAGTTTGGCGGCCACTCTCTCCTAGCAGAGACCTGAGGCTGCATTTAACAACTACAATGAGTTGAACAGAGCAAGGGAACCTTGCTGCTGCTGGGCAATACTGCAGAACCCAGCTGTAAAATGAGTGCCAGAGGGAAACTGATGGCTCCAGCTCCATGTAGAGTACTCCAGTGAGAGACTGGGCTCTCTCTCACATCCCCAGCACAACTAATACTGTTATACTGTGTTTCCTTTACAACAGCAGCTTTTCAGTTCTTTGGGTCAGGACACGATATGGATGCCGATGGGCATTTGCTGCCCAGTTTGTGCCCGGCTCCCAGATGAACAGAAAACAGAGAGCACCGACCCAGCTGTGGGAAGCACCCATGGGATTTCATCCCTTTGATGTGGTTTTAGGCTCAGGGTGAGTCCCACCACAGGCTTCACATCCAAAATGGGGTGTGCAAGTGTAATGACCCATTTCCACCTCTACTGGAATATTCTCTGCTGGATTATTTCCTTGGCAAGTGTATAAATGCCAAGCTCATTTCATTCTCACTGCATCTCAGTGTCTCCAAGAAGGAAGGGGATCCTGCCCTTGCTCACAGTGATCTCTCCATGTGTCTTCTCTCAGGGAAGTGTAAACCAGGAGTTAAGTTGGAAGCAAGCTCAGCACCCGCAAAGCCAGCCCAAACTGGCTTCTCCAAAAGAGATAGTGAAGTCTTAATGCTGGATAGAGCTTGCAAATAAAGCAATGTTTTATTAAACTACTACTACATTTTGATTGAATGGCATTTGGACTACATAGGAGCAGACATATTCCTGAAAGTAATTGGTTTTCCACATCTGCTTTCCTTTCTAATTGGACTAATTACTTCAGTGTAGGATCATGTTCACTACTCTCCAGAAAGCGAGAAACCTTGATTTACAGTGAGAAGAGCAGCAATTAGAGAGAATTAATTCATACGGCAACATCTAAATAAATCATATTATGAGAAGACAGCAATGTAATTATTGTGACTGGTGACTCCCTTGTGGAGAAACATCATCCTTAAGCCTAAATCAAGCAGCTGAGTTCCCTGAGGAATCCACCACAACTCTTCCAATTTCACAGAGCATGTACTACCAGTTTTAGCTTTAAGACCTAATTGAGGTGCATTGTCAAAAACAATAGGGTCTAACACTCCTCAGGCAGCTTAGAAAGAACAATCACATCCTTGACAACCCCGTGGTTGTATTCCGAATCAAATGTGTGTTCAACAGCCACAGATAACATATGCCACCAGCAGCTTCCCATCAAAGGTGCATGAATTTTATGGCTGTAATACCCTCCATGATGAGCCAGGCTTTTCTTCCTCTCCAAACCCAGATGGCTGATTAAAAGGCTTAGCGAGGAGAACATGCTGAACTACAGGGTTTCAGAAGATGATCCTGCTCCACACACTGATAATTTATCTTCCTACTTATACATTAGCAAGCTGGAGCTACATTCTTAATGGCAATCAAACATTTATTTGCTACTCTGGCAAGTGGTGAAAGGCATTTTACAAAGGTAGAGCTCCTCCATCTGCTTATTAGTGCTCTCCTTAACATCATGCTCATCAACTCACCAGGAACTTTGGTGTGCCTCTCACAAATGCCTCTTTCTAAGGCAAACGCTACCTTCTTCTCATATTGCTCACGTACTTCCAGAAGAAACCCACAATGCCTTTTCCTGGGAGGAAGAGACCATTTCCTCACATAAAACAGCACTGAATTTTCTGTGCAGGAACTCCATGGCTTAGAGTTTGCCATATCAAGAGCTAGCTCTAGGCATGGAAGCAGAATAACCCAGTACTCCACCTGATTTCATTAGCTTTCTTAAGACAGTTATTCTACTACAGGCTGCCTCTGTACAGCTCTCACCCTCTGAATTAGTAGTGAGCATTCCCCACAAAAGTAGTAAGAGACACTACTTTTACATGTTAGCTAGTCACTGGTTTATACTATCAGATTACATGCACAAGCATGACAAGAATTAGCATAATATGATGTTATACTTTATGTCCACAACCTGACACATCATCCATCCCTTGCATCAAGAAAGCCAAGTTTCACATCCAAACAATTACCCTCTTTTAGCAAATGCTTGATCCATTAGGAATTAAGGTGATAAATTGTCAGTTCAGACAGGTGGAAACATATCCATCTTGATTTGCCATCCTTTTGCCACAGCAGATAAATACAATCATCGGTAACAGCACCTGCTGGCTCCAAGCAAAGCTCCATGATTGGGAGGAAAAAGCTAAGCCTGGCAAAAAAAAGCAAAGCTTGTCACTTTGTGGTTTTAGGTATATGTATTTAAGAGCTCAGCCCTTTCTGTCAGTGTTTACTGCTATTCCAATCTCCTCTCCCTTTCCTTCTGAGAGGTTTTCATGGCTGCCATTACATCTCTAGATGTTTAAGAAGATAATCAAGAAATAAAAACTAAATCAAATCAAAATGAAGAAGTATCCTCTGCGAGTTTATCCTGTCAGACACTTGCATGCAGAAGTAAGAACCCCCGGGGTTGGATTCCCTACACCCCATCATCTGGGACCCATTTCAATGGGGAACACACACATATGGGATATAAAATGCGGCACTCCACTCCAGTTGCTCCCTGTACTCATGGTGCGAGTGCCACAGCAGGTTGAAATCCAGATTTCAGTGAGAGGGAGCAGCTTAACGGCTCTGAACGGAGCCCACCTCTGCACACACAAAACTAGTCCTCTCGACCCCCGAGATTGCTTCATTATTATACCAGTATTTGTTGCATTATCCTGGCCTAGAAACACAATAATGGAAAAATGGATCCAATTACTTTGGAGACATGGAAAAAAACAGATTTTGAGTTTATTCTAGCCCTATATATCCATAACAAAATTATGGATGCAGAGTTATAAGAAGTCCTAAAGCAAATGAAGGCCACAGGAACCACGTGCACAGTAAAAGAACCCCAAAAGATGTACAAAAATACATTCAAGTATCACAACAATGTAAGAACTATAATGAAGGTAAGTGGAACAGCTCATAATTCACAGTCACTACTCTTTTATCAGTGTTCAGCTGAAGGTTGAGAAGATTTTAAAAATGCAGTTATCAACAATAGATTTACATTGAAAGAAGCTTCTCTCCTGCATTTCTCCCTCCTCTCCTTTCCTCCTCCTCCTCCTCAAAGAGGTAGAAGCAACAAAGAAAGCAACATCTTTAACACAACAGAAGATTGTTTTGAAAGAGCATCCATGCAATCAGCTATAGCACAAAGAGGTGTCCTGGCTTCAGTAGCAAAGCAGAGCCTATTTGGGCGTTTGTTAAAAATCAAAACACTGAAGATATTTGTGTCGGGTTGGTCAAGTAAGACAACAGAAGCTCCCTCACACACGCTGCTGAGCCACAGTGACATATCTTATCTTGGTACCTTTTTACTCCTTTGGCCAGGTTTCAGTTGTTACTCCTTGTGGGACATTCACCAGCTCACCAGTATGAGGAAGCCTTGCACAGCTGGGAGTAGTGGAAAGCAGAAAGCCAGATCCAGAAACAGGGCTGGTCAGGAGCAGGCAGGGAGGGGTCCTACTGCACCTGGCTGCTCCTCCACCTCCCAGGCCTCCACGACACAGACACAATGCCTCTTTTGACAATTATTTTACCCCCTTGAACGACTTAAAATCAATTCTCTAGGAGAGGTATCCCAGGAAAGACGCTCCCCGCTCCGGGTTTGGTTTTCATTGCTGGTGCTTTCTTCCGCCACTCTCCTAATAACCATGGATTAATGAACAATTACACGGCTCCATTCTTCCCGCCATGTAATTCCAAGAAAAGAAGAGCATCTTTCGGGAACATTATGCTTGAAAAACAAAGGAGAGCTTTGACTGTCAAGTCACTGATGTTCCCTCTTTGCTTAAAAGCCTTCCAATTTACTTACAAATTATAGTGTTTTTAATGCAAATTAAGCACTAGAGAACATTCTTTCCTTCCCCCAGATTAGCAAGAACCAAATTGACCAAGAAAGCCAAACATGGAATCTGGACAAAATGAATATTTAAAATAATGAGCCTGTTTAATTATTCTGATTGGTGAAGTATGAGGTTATTAAACGCCTCTGAACTGATGACAGGGTTTGAGCATATGGTTTTGCTTTCTGAACACAGAGAAAATGTTTTCCGATACTCTATGCTCCAGTAGTCTTTGTTGAATTAGCTATGGGGATGAAATACAGCTACCCATGCTCAGAGACCTTTGGGAAATATCTCTTGCTTCAGAAGCAAATACCACGGTGCGGAAGGCAGAGGCATCCTAGGAAAGGGCGAGCGAGAGCACAGGAATCAGGCGATTCGTGCACAAGTTCCCTGGCTCATTCCAGCTGCTAAGGGAAAAAACAATGCTCATTCAGTTCTGCTTTTGCTTCAACGTGGCACTGAGTTTACATCTGCCTGCTAAGTCCCCACTTACACGTACAGGAAACCCCTGAACTTAGTTCCAAAGATACACTGTACTGAATCCAACAAGAATACACCAAGTTCCTTTTATTTCCTATTAGCACTGGGGTAAACGCTTCCCAGCTTTTTTACTTGGAACCCTGCAAATCCTTCTTAGCCATGAGGCCTCCAAATGCCTGCGAGTTCCAATGGCCAGTTATGCCTTCTGTGTCCAAAAGGCTATTACATGGCATTTTGCTTCCCAAAAGCCTGCATCAGGTTACTGAAAGCACGCTCTGCAAAAGGAGAGCGTCAACAGGGAGAAGATGACATGGACAGAGTCCCCACATAAGCAGATTAACAACATTACTTCCTCTGCTCTGCTTTTATAGTACCCATCTGTACAACTCCAGTTGATACAACACCAGGTTATCTTTGTTCTCTCCCCACTGCAAAAACCAGCTTGGACCCTTCCCTTTTATTTGGGGATTTAAATTCCAGAGGTTTGTGTACAAATACTCTCAAGCTCAGAGGGGTTCATCTAAAAAATGGGGGGGGGGAATGGTGAACAAGCTTTTACTGGAGGTCCTGATTTTAAGGTTTTAGTAGAGGCTGCTTCTCTCAGTTCCACAGGCCTTTGGGTCAGTGCTATCCACCTCCAGTCATCCAGATAGGAAACTTCATTACTCTGATATAACAAGCATGTTTTGCACAGGGCTGAGCTGTGCAAAAAAGCTTGTGACGCACCTACTTTCCCCTTAATAATCTCTCTACTACCTCCTCATCTGGCTCTGGCAGTGACCTCCTTAAGACAGCAGCTTCAGGACTCCACTGTGCTCTGGTAGGGCCCATCAAGAGGTTACCTGGGTGAAACAAGTTGGTAACACCAATGGCAGCTCATTCACATCTCCCAATTCCTAATGCTACTTGCTCCTCCCTAAACCTATTTCTGGCTTTAATTAGAGGTTCTGGAACTTCTGGAGCCAGAAGGGTGAAGAGGTGAGTGAGCCCATCTGGTCCCTGCCGCCTAGCTCAGTATCTTGTACTTCGAACATCCCTAATATCTAATGGCTCTGAGCACAGGGCGACTGCCTCTGCCCTTTGGTGTGCACTGAGAAAGGTCAGAACCCAATGGGGAAATTCACTGTTCTTGAGGTGTTTAGTGCAGATTCCCATTCTTTGGCTTAGTCGCCGTGCACCTGACTCCCATCTGCCATCCCATCTCCTGCACCGCACCAACTGCTTCTGTTTCCTCAAGGAGAAAGCTGGAAGCAGAACACAAACCCGTGTGCAATTACCTTGTTGACAACTTTCCTTGAGCTAACACGGGGAAGCAGTTTGGGATTCATCTGAATTCAACACCCCCTTGCTCTTCCATTTCCTCTTGGCTTCTTGCACTTCAATGTGATTATGTACCATGTGAAGCACGTTTCAACCCTAAGCCTAAGACAGATGCTCTGAAATGGTAGAGGGGAAGGATGGAGATGAGGCACTACCGCATGGGCTCAGAAGGGCCAGGCAGGAGACAGTTTCAGTTGCTGAGCAGATTTCTCCATTATTCTGGCAAGGTGTTTTCTAACCATTTACAATTCCCAGCTATTTCAGAAAGCTTTAAAGGAGCTTGGTGCCTGCGGGCAGAAGCCTAGCCCTTTTCCAGAGACCAGAGCACTCAGTTGCTGTGCTGGTAACCCCATGATGCTCCCCAGCATGGGCAGAGCCGGCTGCCTCGAGTGGCCGCAGGCACCTAAACCTCAGTCTGGTGCAGTCCACGCATCACTCCACTGCCAAAACGCATCCCTGTGCGGTTCCCACTGCTGGCAGGGGCTGGCAAATCCCCCCTCAGGAAAAAGAAAACAAACCTCAAGCTCCTACCTACATGAGCTGCTGCAGGAAACAACACAAAACCCACAAAAGCCAACTAAGCAAACAAAAAGAGATAAAAGCAGTTTGCTTTAAGGCAGCAGCTTTTCTGAAAGCCCACAGTAAATCTTTAAGATTATCAATAATGAACACATTCAATGTCTTTTTTCGGCTTCTTTTAAATCACTTCTTCTAGTGGAAAGAAATCAGTCCGGGGGGTTGCTCATATGCGAGCTGCATTTATTATGAAGGGACTGACATTGTGAGAGGCTGAGAGAAGTAAAATGAGCCTCAACAAGGCTCAGGGAAAAAAGCAGCACACTGCCACTTTATAGTCCTTCCTCCACCTATTTGTCAGAGCACCCCAGTAATGAGCACTGGAATTCATCTCTCCCTAATGACACTCACAGTGCTAGATGTTTTCCCAAATTTAGTCAAGTGACAACACAGTCTTTAATATGCAAAGGAGTCCTTTGTGTAACGCACCATAACTTTGGTGTCATGTCACGCCTTACACAAGTTCCAGGAGAAACAAATTGCAATCATCATAGGAGTGAACAAGTTGGAAGGAACATGCCACAGCAATAATGAAATCTGATTTTTGTGTACATGCAGACGTAAATTACATAAAGCGAAATGTAGCTCCATGAA